CTATTTCATTGAAGTAAGTGGAATATACAAAAGGGTTAGCTAAGAGGGTTACATTAAGGATCTCCATGTGGTTTGTTTAGAGGTAATACAATAATTCGGTCCCTTTGGGGACATCCAATAAAATTTGTACGATACAGACGCCACCAAATGATTTTTGGAAGAAGACAACTGGAACACAGAGCAAAGGGTCTGTTCCTTACATATTTTCCTAAAAACAATTTTTTCCCCATTACCAATGCGTTAAGGAACATCCAACAGCTATCACATACGTTTTTAATGATAGAAGGTTATCATGGCTATCTTTTGAGCATAAAAACTGTAGCGTTGAGGGTTCATAGACCAAGTAAGGGCGTCAAATAACTTGTTATTACAAGCTATCAATTTTTAGTGTGGCCAGTCAAATTCTGAACAAACCTTTGAATGAGCATATGGAAGCTGTATAGAATATTGAGATATCTCAAGGACGACCCAGGAAAGGGCTTCATGCTCAGAGTGACTATGAACCGATTCTTAGAAGTCTCACCTATGCAGATTGGACAGACTCTCCCATTGACCGTAAGTCAACTTTAGGGTATTGTTCCTATGTGTGGCAAAACTTTGATGTAGAACAACAAGAAGCAATTTTTCGCGTAAAGGCAGTGGTAAGATTGAGTTTTTTTCATTAGCTGAAGGGATTTGAGAATGAATTTTGTTAAAACTCCTCCTCACCTGAGTTCAAAGGTAGGATTAAAGGTGGTATAGAGTTGATGTGTGATAACCATTCTGCCATAGCTATTGCAAAAATCCACTGTATCATCAATGATCGAATGGAGCACATTGATATAGACTACCACTTCATTACTGAGAAGATTGAGAACAACACAATCAATCTAAGATATGTGCCTTCTCAACTGCGAGTTGCAGATATATTTTACCAAGACATTGCATTGAACCAGCGTTGCTAGTTTGATTTCTATGCTAGGAATGACTAGTATATACCATCCAACTTGTCTAGACCCCCTATTGTGGAAGTGTATAGATGTAAGTGAAAGAAGAGAGGGACTGTGTAAGTCATGTTGCAAATCATTGTATGTGGTCCTAGGGTGTCCTGGTTGGTTATGTGGGTGTGAGGCCTCTGGCATCTGCTTGTCAGTACTTATAGGAAAAGTAAACAAGGGACTACACCTTGACAGTTAGTAGGACAGGTGTACTTGAATTGGCTGGGAGGTTCTTGCATGGTGTTTGGCTCTTGTTGTTTGATATATTGAAAATATCGTGACTGCTCTACCTTACAAATTGGTATAGTAGCACATTCATTCTAGCAAAGCTTGGGAAAATGGTTAAAAAAAACTGGAGGAACTATTTGTACTTGTTGTAAAGCAGTTGAGATTCAAGTACAAGGAATTTTTTTAATGGACTTGATTATCTAAGATTTTTACAACACTATAAGCTAATATACATGTTATAACATTTAAGATTGTACATCTTACATGATTTGCAATATATTTATGTTATTTTGACAATCCATTGTAGGAAGAGATCCGTTTCATGATCAACCCTGAATTAATTATTGGCATGCTTTTCTTGCCAGCCATGGCAGATAATGAGGCGATTGAAATTGTTGGGGCAGAGAGGTTCTCAAATTATACGGGGTGAGTTATAATCACTTCATCATTAATTTTGTAACCCATCCCATCAACATACTCTTCTCCGATTAGGCATCGAATTAGAATGTTCTTAGTTAACCCCTACAATGTCATTTTATTGCCATTTTGATATTAAGAATATGTTGAAAATATTAAATATACCATAATCTATCAATTTAAGATTGGTAATTGGCTGATATTTTGCAGAACTCTTAGGGTAATTCACCATTAACTTTAAAAGTTTAAGTCCGATAATGAAACCAGTGTCTACTTCAAATTCCTGATTATGAAATCATCTGCAAGAGATGTAGGTATGCTTTCAACTTCCGTTTTGCTGGAAATCATGAGGACAAACAGGAAATAGATTCACTTGGAAGGCGTAAAACCTTCATCACAGCTATAGATGCATTGTGCAGTCCTGGGATGAGACAATACAGATTAGAGTTCCTTCTTCGGTAAGCAAGCCTGTCTGGAATGGCATTTCATGCAGAATCCTTTATTGGTTTGAATACTGATTTGCATCTTTTAGTTTGTTAACAATGTCTAAGATAGCTGAAACTATCCTTCATCTCTCGCAAAGCGCCTCCTCTTTATGCAGCGACGGACGTCCCCTTAGTGGACTGCTGGAGCTTGCAGCTAATAGAGGCTCACGAGATTTTAGAATGGGAGTGGGAAGTAATGGTATACCCATTTTTATTTAGGAAACTTCTAAATTTCTGTATGTTATTAAGATACCCTACTAGATGCTATGAGTTAGGTAGATAAGATACCCTACTAGATGCTGGTATCTCCCCCAATCCACGGAGTACTCACATCGCTGAATCCAAATTTCTTTTATGGGTGCCCAGGAGAATCTGTTGTTTTGATGTTTGTTTTTTACCTTTTGTTGTTACATTTTTCGATTAAAAGACTGACGAGGTTTTTAGTTCTGAATGGATTAGAAGAGTCAGGTAGGATTTGTGGTGAGTTAAGAAACTAAGACTAATGTGCATGGTGTCTCACAACAAACTATTTATTCGTTGCGATGGTGCTTAGAAGTTTGGACTCGATCGTGGAAGTCTAATCGGTGAATGCTAGTGTATTCCTTCGTCCTCATCTTTATAAGCTGATATTTTACTATGCTTGCTGAATTCAACAGGGAAGTCAATAAGGCATTCTGTGGTTTCTTTGATCAATCAAAGCATAATCAGTACGAGAATCTTTTCTTAAAAAGTAAGGAGGATGTCGCGGACCATAATGACACGTCAAGAAACAATCTCCTGGTAAAATTGCTGCTTCTTTTTTTTTTTTTTTTTTTTCCTTTTCCTGTTCTCTGCTTTTTGACATTATTCTAAAATTATGTTCAGAACCTTATAGAGAGGACAATGATCATAATTAGCAGTCGTAAATGATCCCGTTCTAAGTTCTTCTAGATTCTTTAGTTTCAAAATTTTCTTATTAGAATGATCTTTTGTTGCAATATTTTTTCTCCTGTTGCTAATTTGGTTGCATGGGTTTGTTTATGGTGCTATTATTTTAGGTGCATGAATCTAGCTCAGATACTAGAGAGAATTATTTTGGCACATCTCTCACTCCAGAATGCTTGGACGACAAAGACGATATTGGGATTGCAACTGGCAATTGGGGCTGTGGTGCCTTTGGAGGAGATCCGCAAGTGAAGTCCATAATACAATGGCTTGCTGCTTCTCAGGTACCTTCTAAGTGTTTGTATGAATCCACATTCAGCGTGTTAGAAGATTAAGATTGTTGGAAGGGAGTCCATATTTGGCTAATTTAGGGAATGGTCATGGATTTATAAGTAAGGAATTGATCTTTATCGGTACGAGGCCTTTTGAAGCCCAAAGCAAAGCCATGAGAGCTTGTGCTCTAAGTCCTCTTAATAACCAAGTATATGTTTTTCAGGCATTAAGACCCTTCGTCGTGTATTACACGTTTGGCACTGAAGCACTGCAGAACCTAGAAAAGGTACGATACCCCTCCATAAATAGAAATGAATAAAAATGAAGATTGGTGTATGGCTTATGATTGGTTTATTGAATATTTTGGGACAGATGAGTGAATGGATTTTGGCACATAAATGGACAGTTGGTGATCTATGGAGTATGTTGGTGGAGTACTGTTCTCAAATATCGAAGGGACAAACTCACGTTGGTTTCTTTGATTGGCTCCTCCCACCCTCCAAAACTAACTTATGTTGCTTCTCTTGATTTGGCAATCAGTTGGCTTATCAATTGTCTTTTATTGTTACATTATATTATTTCTAACTATACATAAAAATATAGAAATTAGCTTTTAAGTTGGTTCTATTTTGGTCTCAAACTTATACAATCAAAGAATAACAATTTTGGTCTCTCTTATTTTTAATTTTAAAATGTTAATTTGAAATATGTAATTTAGTAGGAATTAAATAGAACAATATTATTGCCTTCATATTTTATGTATTAGATACAATAAATATATAATTATATATCCATGTGACTTGCATATTATCAGTTTCAATGATACAAAATTAATTAAGTGGATGAATGAAAGAATTTTATTCATTAACTTAAGTTTACCATCTACGGATGTACTTGTTTGTTAACATGGATAAAAAAGAATCTATTTATTTGTTAACATGGATAAAAAACAATCTATGATTTCTTATTTGTTACTAAATCTATGATTTAGTGGTTTGTTATCAAATTTATGATTTATTGGTTTGTTACCCACCATATAATCTCTGTTATACATATGTGACTTATAGGTCATAGTTCAATTCAACCTAACATTCATGCTCTAAACTTAGCCAAATTTAGTTCAATAAAATCCTCAAATGTCAACTATCAGATTTATGTTCTGAACTTGAGTCAACTATCAGAGTCATGCCTTACTCTTAGCATTTAGGATTCCAAAAGAAAAGGAGTCAACTATTTACCCTTAGAGTTTAGGACTCCAAAAGAAAAGGACTCTTAGATAGAGTCGTTAGATAAAAGTTCCCAATTTAGGGAATGATGATGATTTATAATCAAATAATAATAATACTAAGTTGGAAGTTGACAATTAAAAAAAAAAAAACTTTTTTACTTTGGATGTTTTATATACAATCCGATCAAACCAATCACTTTTAGAAGCATGATCGATATCATCAACATTTTAATTACATTTCATCAACAGACGTTTTATGTGTTAAAATGAATATATGTTGGAATTTTGGGGTTCTGGGTTCCGAGGGGTTTTACAGAGAAACTCGATACCCATTTCAGCTTCGTTTTCAGTTCTTATCCATCTCTCCTATGAACCAACTCTCTTCGCTTCTCCTTCCTTCTTTATACTTCTTCTCCTTATCAAGTTCTGGGCTTACTTTGTAAGAGTTCTGGGCTTACTTTGTAAGAGTTCTGGGCTTACTTTGTAAGCTAACTAAGTTTGTTTGGCGAAGTTGAAGTTCCATTTAGCCAAAACCAACTGAAAATCCAGACTTTCATTTACAACTGTGGTCGTAATCTTGTAGAAATGGCGCTGCAACATACACTACGTTTACCGTTTCTGGTTTTGCCTTCTTCTAATTGCCGATTCCAAGGGGGTGCTTTCGCTTTTGCGGCCACGAATTCGCAACCCAGCGATGCTTTCGCTTCATGGAGGTTGAAGTCTTCTTATCCTTCATCCGTCGCTTCGGTAAAGTTGTCTTTCCTGGTAATCTCCTTCTCTAATCCATAGACTTATAGTGTGCTTGTCATATGATGTATCTTCGATTTAGATAGCTCAAAGTGTTTTGTAGTTGATTTGAAAACTTCTTTTAAGAAACATCTGAAAGTTGATTCTCCAAAAAGTGATTTTCTGGGAATCGTTTTAAATTCGATTCATGGTAACTTGATATTTGTAGGATTATTCTTAGACGTGGTGCAACTAAACAAACTTGTATTTAAATCATTTTTAATAGTACGTAAGTAATCAAATATTTTTAGAAAAAGTATAATGTATGCCAATCTCACCCTTATTGCTTGTTTCCTGTTACTTGGGGAAATTAAATGTGAAACGCTTCATGTTATGATCTGTAGGGTAGTTTTTTAAGAAGCAGCACTCGAGGGGCCTATAAAACTGCTGGGTCACTCTGGTCAGGTGATGGAAAGAAGAAAAAAGGACAAGCAGATATGGACTCCGATGAGGAAGATGATTCTTCTTCAGCAAAGCAGCAAGACCTTGAGCTTATGGATGTAGAAGAGAGACGGGAATGGAGGGAGAAGATTAGGGAAGTGATTGATATGAACCCCGATGTTGAGGAGGAGATGGATATCATGGAAAGGAGAAGGAAGATGCAAAAGCTTCTAGCTGACTATCCTCTTGTTATGGAGGAGGAAGATCCTAATTGGCCTGAGGATGCTGACGGTTGGGGTTTCAACTTGGGTCAGTTTTTTGATAAGATCACCATCAAAAATAAGAAAAAGGATGATAAAGATGATGATGATGATAAAGATGACAATGATGATGAAGTAGTTTGGCAAGATGACAACTACATTCGTCCAATTAAGGACATAGCAACTGCTGAATGGGAGGAGGCTGTGTTTAAGGACATTAGTCCACTAATCATTCTTGTACATAATCGCTACAAAAGGTATGCTCTTTGAAGTCATCTAATTGCCTGCCGTAAGATTATTAACATTAGGATCTTGTGCGGGTTGACATTTGTCTTTATGGCCATTGATCTCATTTATATATTTTTTTCCCGTGGATTCCAAACCTACAATGCAATGCAAGGATCTCTATTCGTAGAGGTTGAAATTATTTTATTCATATTTGCATTTTGTACACCCAAATGTTTGTCCGATGGTGAGAAGTTAGGAGGTCTGCAGATACTCTCTGGGTTCAAGTCTTGGGTTGAAAACTTAATAACTTACAATAGATGGGATCTTTTGGGTGGGCAACACGAGCATAGTGCAAGAAGTAGGCTCCTTGATATTTGTCGGTGTCTCTACCCATTGTGATTGTAATGTGGTAAGCTCCCCTATATTCACACTCTTGTGCCACTACCAGTACCCAACCAATGTGATTTTCTGTTCAATCACTTTTAGAGTATTGTGGAGGTTGGGTTTGTTGATCTTACAAAACTCTCATTGAGACGTTTGGAAGGAAAAAAATAAGAGGGTCAATTGAAGAATATAATTAGAAGGAATTATATGCAGGACTTCGGACCATGACAAGTTAGTCTTTTTCCTTTTCTTTAAAAGAAGAAGAGTGCCCTTTCCTAGAGGCCCTCGCATTTCTTGGTTAGGAATGATGCGAGGGAAAATTGGGGGTCAGATACAAAATTTTGTTATGTATTTTTTAACATTTTATTTTTACTTGTGCTTAAACTGTTATTTGATGGCTGTAGTGGTTTAACAATAACATGGATCACAAGATGATCTGTATGTGGCAGAAATTTGCATATTTTGAGAATTCTGTCTTGTATGTATTTACTTTGACTCAGGCCAAAGGAAAATGAAAAAATTCGCAAGGAGCTAGAGAACGCCATCCACATAATATGGAGTTGCAATCTGCCTTCGCCAAGAGTAGGCCTCTCCTATTTGTTGACTGTAGTTTACTCATCTCTATACCTCTAGCAAATGTCATTAGTTTAAACATATTGTTGTTGACTGCAGTGCGTTGCTGTTGATGCTGTTGTTGAACGCAACTTGGTCTCTGCTCTTCAAGTGTCTGCCTTTCCAGAGATTATCTTCACTAAAGCAGGGAAGATTTTATACCGTGAGAAGGGTAAGTGCGAAACCAAGAGAACAGACATTCTGTGATTTCTTTATTTGTTTGGCTCCAAATTTTGTGACTGTAGAATGAAACCTATTTCAATGTATGAGCTGAGGTCTGAGTTGTGGTTTGGTTCAGGATTTGTAAGTGCAGATGAGTTGTCCAAAATAATGGCGTTCTTCTACTATGGAGCAGCTAAGCCACCATGTTTAAGTGACGTTAGGGATTATCAGGAGGCGATCCCATCAGTTTCTGTTGATGCCTGATTATGCCATAGGAGGATAGACAAAGTATATGCTCTTTTTGGTTTGTTGTAGATGAGGAGTTTTAGCAATCGCTTTGTTGGGGCAGTCTTTTTTATATTGAAAGGCCAGTGTCCTCTGTCTTTTAGTCCTGCAACTTCATGAGTTGTTCAAGGTTATTACCGAAATATGAAATGTATTATAGCTTAAGATGACATAGCGCCAAAAGCAGGTAAATGAGATCCTTGTATTATTTTTTAGGTCAATTCGATTGGGTTCTTAATTAACTGCTCCTGCCAATATTTTAACGTAGTTTTTATTTTTTTATTTTTTTAATTTGGTTTTCTACTACTTCCGTAAGCTGTTTATTCGAACTCCCTCTAATAAATAGGTGCTCTTCTGGATTCAAAATCTTGTTGGCGATGAGTGATGATGCCTTCGGTTAGTGACCATCAACCAACGTTTCCATGGAAAAGGTAATCCTCTTAACATTTGCAGACTCTTTCTACGTGCTAATTTGCATACATTGTAACATCTTCTCGAGTCCACCCTTGTATGAAATTCTTTGATACCGTTGTTGCATCATTTTAATTTAACAATCAGCTGTGGCTAAGTTCTAAGTTCGAGACATGGAATGAGCACTATCAAAATTTTCAATTTGGTCCTTAAATTTTCAAGTTCGTTCTGTTTTGAGCATTCAACTTCCAATGTCTACTTTAATTTCTAAACTTCTAAAAACCAATGATTTTGGCTTGAAGTCGTACTCGTAAATAACAAGTTGCAGTGGTCGAAGTTATAACGTCTATTATTTGCATTCTATTTATGTTAGCAACATTTTGTTGCTTATTATTATTATTTTTTTATGGTTTATGAACTTTTTAGGATATAGTACAATGTGAAAAATATGAACAGAAATGTGCATAGGTGACCCAAAATTTAATAGGGAAGAGATGAGTAGGTAAAATGTATAGTTTATAATAGAAGAAATTTGATGGGCATCCATATTAGTTAATTTTGGGAAGAAAAGGAACGGTGGAAATTGCTTGGAAAGAGGAGTAGGTGAGTGGGCGATGAATGCCGTGTGTTGTGGGGTGCCTCACAATAGTTGAAGACATCAATAGTTGACTCATTATTGTGTTTTTTAATTTTAGTTTGACTCCATATATACTTAACCAGTTGATCTTTAGGAACCCACTGGGGAACCTTCTTTCCCTCTTGAGCTAAAAGGCATAAAATGGTAAGCTCAAGACTAAGGCTAGCCCTAACTTCTCTATGGTCAATAGGGAACGACTCGAGCATCTGGTCTCGTTCCCTCTAAGAAAGGAAAAATGTCAAAAACTCCAACTCAATCCTAGGTAAGTGAACATCATTATAGCCTTATAAAAGGTAAATCCATTCTAAGCTTACAACCCTAAACCTACTACACCCTTGTGTCTTTGTTACCTAGTGAATCATTTCATCCCCTAAATTACAAGTCTATGCATAAAGATGACGAACAATTATCATCTTACCATCTAATAACTTCTCTAAAACATTCCTGAAATCCTAGTTGAATTAAGAAGGAAAAAAAAAAAAAACAAGTTTATGGAAAGTACGTTAATTAATCCTAAGCTATCAGGGCATGATTGATAGTCGACGAAAAAAACCAATATTACCATTTAAGAAAGTAATAAGGATTCTAGGCATGGATGACTGCGAAAAAAAGTTATCAATTTTGCCCAGCAATTCCAATTTGACTCATTTTGCAATGCAATAACAATCAAAGAAGAAGAAGAAGGAAAAAAACCTCAAAAGAAGCATAAATTTGCAATAGAAAAACCTTTAATGGGTTTCCCCAGAAAGGAGTGAAGATGATTATGCTGTACACATTAAGTTCAATCCCTGAATTGAATCACAAAATCAACAACAAACCCATCAAATTTCATTGCCCAGTCAAGCACGACAGAATCCTCTGGCTTCTGAACCTAACAAGCTGTGGCCCATGACTGGACTTGCCGGCGGCGGCGGAGGTAGTTCTCCTCCACTCCTCCGGCGTAGATCCACCGAACGAGTTGTATCTCCGGCGGGCCCTGGGGGCGCCAGGGTCCTCAGATTTGGAAGTGGGGAAGACGTGGGTTGAAGGGGGATCCACGTAGAAATCAGCAATGTTGAAAGATGGAGAAGGTGCTGCTGCTGCTGCTGCTTCAGGGGAAAGTACTGAATATTGGCTTCTGATTCTGGTTTTCTTCATCGCTCTGTAGAACATCGGAATCAAACCCTCCATTTTCCTTCCTTCTTTTTCTTTCTTTTTATCCTTTTTAATTTTTAGTCTCTTCCAAGAACAGAGACAGAGCAGAGAGGGGCTTTGGTTTTGGTTTTGGAACTGGAAATGGAAGACTTTTCTTTTTGTTGTTGTGTGTTTGGTTGGTTGGGTTTTGGGTATATATTTAATTTGGAATACGATGACTAACGGGCACTCCGCAAATTCATTATTGCCCAAACTTAGTCCAACACGTCTTTCCCAGTTTTTTTATTTATTTATTTCTTTTGAAAATAACTAAAACAAATCCATGGGCTGATGATTCGATGTTGATCACAAATCACTATGGACTTGGTGTATATGAATTAAATATAGTTTTTTTTTTTTTTATAAAAAAATTTACAATACACTCTAAAAAAACAGTAAAATATGGTTTTGTTCGATAATACAAATGGGTTTAAATGAGTTTTTTTTTTAAATAATAAATTAATCTATGATTATGTTGGTGGTTCATAATCATATTATTAATTCTACCAAATGAATCACTTGCATTAAATAATATAATGGAAGGAAAATTGAATGATATAATATAGAAATATTGGCATTGAGGATAGGGATCATCTAATTCTTCAACCCTTATCTTAGCGTTGAATTAAAAAAAAAAAAAGATAAGGAAAAAAAATGCAGAGTTCTTACTTCTAATGACTCGCTTACCATTTATTTCATAAAATAAAGAAAGAAATGAAAAAGGCATTTTCCATTTAATTGGAGAGACCGTAGAATTAACCAAACAAATAATAATAATAATAATAATAATAATGGTTTGGTTAGGTGATTTAAAGTCCAAACCAAACATAGTCCACTAAACTCCAATTGTCTTCATTTGTTCTTAATTTTTATACCATAAAATAGAATCAACACGTGGGTGGCTGCCACTTCTTTCAAACACTAAATAACACCATAAATATTTTAAATAAAAACGTTACTAAAACTAAATTTTGCTTACATAGCTTAAATATATATGTATGTGGCTTGATAACATATCAGTGTTTAGTATTATTTTCTGAGAACAGAAATTCAAGATTGATCCATTTGTTCAATATCAACTGATATCATAGTTCTGTATGAAATTTATTATACACGACGACACAACGACACGACAAAACAAGTCATGGGCAATGGAGCAAGCAGTTAAGTTAAACCTAATAAATTCATAAAGTGTAGCACATAATGTTACTCCACAAAATCATACAATATTCAATACATTTCCTTTAGATGCGATTCCTTACTTCCTTTCTCAGCATTGTGGCTCCTATCACACATCTTCCGCATGGAAGTCAAGTAACTTGTTGCTTTCAATCTAATCCTTTTCTCAAGATCCTTTTCTTATCGGCTTAAAAGTTTCAAACCACAATTTGAAATTTAAAACAAAGCAGCAGCACCGTAACAATCCGATTAAAAGTTGTAATGTGCATGTGTATGTGTGTAGAGATGCAGTATATACCTGCCCCACAATGCTTTCTACACGAGCAGCCTGCATAGCAAAGAGTTAGATAGATGACCGTGAATCCCCAGCAGCACAAGAATCCTGTCTTTACAATATGACAAACAGAAAAGATACAAATATTGTGAATATCAAACTCAGTTCAAACAAAACATAAACTCAGCGTACATAATGGATACGATCAGTGGGAGAATTCTTCCTCAAACAATCAATTTTTGTTGGTAACATTTATTCGGCTACGAATAGGAGTGAAGCTAAGAGGTTAGCAATCAAACAATCCATTTTTGTAGCATAAATGCCAATCTGAGTCCCCTGATGCCATCAACCCACCTCCATCCGTGCTAATGGATTCCGCACAACAACATGCTACTTCATTACTTTTCTCATATTCTTCGGCTTCCTCATTCACTAATAATCGAGAAGAACAAGAACTGTTGCAAATTATAGGATCAGCCTCACAATCATTATGTTTCAGAGGTGTCTTCTTAAGGATATCTGACAAGCTAATGCTGCAAGTGTCAGCATTCTCTTCTTCGTTGTCTGATAAGCATCGACAACTATCGAACTCGTCCATCTCGTAGATCCGGCTCATTAACCCTTCCCTCCATGATACTCTCATTTGGGATTTTGACAAATTCTCACACGAAGAATTGCTATTCCTAAAAGCCTGATCTTCAAGAAGCTTTTGAAATTGGTTAAGATCCATGGAATTGGATATTGTGGCCAGACAATCAAATTGGAAACTTAAATCCGTTATACTTGTCATTGCTTTATGGCTGTCAGACGCTGAATTCTGATCATGTTTATGACAACTGTCAGCAGTTAACCATGGAGGGAAATGTTTTGGAGCTGAATTTGAGTCTGATTGTGGTGTTCGGATGACATTGTCACTACTTAATGAGTCAATTGAGAATGGAGAATTCTCCCCATTGACTTCATACCTCGGTTGTCCTCTTCCCTCCGTTAATATCACATCCAAGCAATTAGGAGCGCATGAGGGAGAGATGTCCTCAAAGGATAATGGCTCCAAGAAACCTTCAAAGTGAGATGAAGCATTTTCAGACTTGTCTTGAAGATCCTCATCCTCCTCGTTGCAGGGGGATAGAAGCCAATTCATATAAGCTTCAATGGGTGAAGGGACCTTTAAAACAACAGAATTGGAAGTCTCCCTTTTGTTGCTTCCATCTTCTTCCTCAAAATTCTGAATGGGCTTGACATTAGAAATGGATGGAGTATTGTCTCCCACAATAAGAACTCCTCTGGGTCTACACTTTCTCTTGTCGGAGATCCCAGAAACGACATAGCCAGCACCATAGCAGACAGGAGTAAGTGTAGGCACAAGTGCTGAACCACATTGTAATTCAGGTGACACAGAGGCTTGAACAGGAGGCGTTTTAGTATGATCTTTGTTTGAAGCCTCTAGGGCTACAACCTTGTCAGCTGTTGGATCCAAACCAGAGCCGTTTTCGATTTCACGCATGGGAGTGAAGTTGAAATCGGACGGTTTACATTTGTTGGCATCATCAACCATCCTCACTACACTATGTGCCCCACGCCTCTCCAACTCCTTACCATCAGATGCCAAGATTTTAGGTTTGTGGGTACCTAATGAACAGGGCTTCTTCCCGGACGGCCATCTATACAGAGAGGGGGAGTTTTTCTTCAATGGCTCCAACTTTGTGGAGGAAGGTTTTGCGGGCGCCCTAGAATTGTGTGTAAGAGCGCGTTTGGGAGCATTCTCCTTAAGCGGCTTAGATCTAAGGGGCTTGAGGGGGCGAACATGAGAAGTAGATTTAGGGTTTTTGGAAGATGATTTAAGCTTATTAGCAGGGGTCTGTGTCTTAGAAGATGAAGAGGAATGAGAGAGAAAGAACCTGAGACAGCCTCTGGGAGCATCGGTGGAGGTGGAGGAAGCGTCACTGCCGACGCTGGCGGTGTTGCAGGCGGGGGAAAAGGAAATGCCATTAAGAACACGGAAGGGGCTTCGAGGACCCTGGTGGTGGTGCTGCTGCTGCTGCTGATGCTTGAGCTTCTTGTTATCGGCATGGATTTGAGACGAAGGCGAAGAAGAAGAGGAAGAGGAAGAAGGTCTCATGGTGAAATGGAAAGGAAATCTGAGATTTGTGGAGGAGAAAGGAAGGAAGATGTGGGAGAAGTGCAGAGTGTTGAAGCTGTGAATCAAGATGCATATTTTGAAATTCGGGATTTTTCTATTTGGTGCTTTCTTGAATTCAAATTTCAAATATTGACCTCCACTTTGTTCCCTATTTGCTCGCCTACCCTTCTTCTACTCTAAATTTAAGCCAATATTAAGCAGATATTAATTTCAATATAAAAAATGGAAATCTTATTTATTGTACCAAATTAATAGCTTTGTGTTCTTATGAGCAACAAAATCCAAGTTAAAATGTCGAAGTTAGGATTGTGTGGGCTGGTAAACATGAAATTCAATCGTAAGGCAAACAGATTTTAGGCGAGAGCGTCCATGTAAAGCATTATACTTTTATGAAACTTATGTCATGGGACAGCGGCTACCAACAAATTCCCCCTCCAACCAAACTAAACCAACACCCCATCATTCCGATCTGCCCCGCAAAAATCAAATGGAAATACAAATCCACGCCCGATGAGAAGCCAAAATTTTCTATTCAGAAAAGGGGCAAAAACCAATTCTAATCTTCTCATTTGCTGTCGGTAAAATCAGCATCAATGACATCTCCTTCGGGTCCTTTGTTCGATGATGGTTCCGATGGCCCTGCTTCGCTTCCTGCGCCCGGTCCAGGAGCAGCGCCTGGCTGATTGTACAAGGATTGTCCCAGCTGCATCACCTCCTGATTTAGAGCAGCCATAGCATCCTTAATGGCTTGGGTTGAGCCACCTGAAATTGCTTCCTTCAACTCCCCAAGCTTTGATTCCACCTTCTCCTTCACTGGCCCAGGCACCTTGTCTCCAAGTTCCTTCAGTTGCTTTTCCGTCTGGTACACAACAGAATCAGCCTGGTTCTTTGTGTCTATAGCATCTCTCTTCTCCTTGTCCTCCTTTGCAAACTTGTCCGCTTCGCTAACCATCCGCTCCACCTATAGCCATACAATTTTTTTTTTTAAAATGTTTGTCAACAAGGAAACTAGTTAATTGTACTTGCGCTCATGAAAGCAAATGCTTTAATCGTACCTCATCACTTGGCAATGTGCTAGCACCAGTAATGGTGATATCCTGCTTCTTGCCTGTTCCTTTGTCAATTGCAGTGACCGAGAGGATTCCATTGGCATCAATGTCAAATTTGACTTCAATTTGAGGAACCCCACGTGGCGCAGGCGGGATACCATCTAGTCGGAAGCTACCAAGTGATTTGTTGTCCCTCACAAACTCTCTTTCCCCCTGAAGAACATTAATCTCAACGCTGGTCTGTCCATCAGCGGCTGTGGAGAATACTTCTGACTTGGAGGTAGGAAGTGTAGTGTTTCTTGGGATAATCTTCGTCATTACACCCCCAAGAGTCTCAAGACCCAAAGATAGCGGACTCACATCCAATAGCACAATGTCACTAACGTCTCCAGACAAAACACCAGCCTACAAACAAGTACCCGTCTCTTCAACAATAATCCACAGTTCATATTACACATAAAGTACCAACTATGTTTAAACTAATAACAACCATGTTTAAACTAATTATCACAAGAAAGTGAGGTTAGCAGAGAGAGACATTCACAATGACAAACAATTAAGCGCAGCCCTGGACCTACCTGAACAGCAGCACCTAAAGCAACAACTTCATCAGGATTGACGGTGACATTAGGTTCCTTCCCAGTCATCTTCTTGACAAGTTCCTGAACAGCAGGAATACGTGTTGATCCACCCACAAGGATCACCTCGTCAATATCCTTAAAGGAGAGCTTTGCATCCCTCAAGGAGTTTTCAACTGGAGTCTTAAGCCTGAATAGGTAACCAATTAAAACAAATACAATATATTAGACGCTTGTACCATTTTCTTGCTTTTTTCTATTAAAGAATTAACCCCAGTCAGTGATTTAAGATTAAAAAAATAAGCAGTAAAAAGATAGTAATGGTCGGTACCTATCAAGAAGATCTGAGCACAATTCCTCAAACTTGGCCCTGGTAATTGTGGTCTCAATGTGCTTCGGGCCATCTGCCGTGGCAGTGATGAAAGGCAAACTGAAAGATGACTCCCATTACCAATGTGTAATATTAAAAATAAATTAATGAAACACAGAGAAATACAGGTCATCATAGACCACTAGGATATAAGGCATGTTTTATGTACCTAATGTTAGCCTGGGTCAAAGATGATAGCTCCATTTTCGCCTTCTCGGCTGTCTCAGTTAGCCGCTGAAGAGCCTGTTTGTCTTTAAGCAAGTCTATGCCTTCATCCCTTTTGAAATTTACAGCAAGCCAATCAACAATTCTCTGCAGATTACACGAGAGGTTCAAATTTTTCACCCCTTATTCATATGGAAGAAAAAAAAGGGGTAAATTTATCAGTCCAACGGAAATTCAACCTTGTCGAAGTCATCACCACCCAAATGCGTATCACCCGATGTAGAAAGCACTTCAAACACTCCATCACCAACCTCGAGCACTACAAACAAAAGAGAGATTCTAGAATTATTGTTGGGACTTAATGTAATAGTGCGTGAGGTAGTAACGAAAAAGGGACAAGTGTAAGAAGGAAGCCATAAAGTCGGGGTAGCAGTATGTACCTGAAACATCAAAAGTACCCCCACCAAGGTCAAAGACCAAAATAGTTTCATTGCTCTTCTTTTCAAATCCATAAGCTAATGAAGCGGCAGTGGGTTCATTGATAATACGCAAGACTTCAAGACCGGCAATACGACCAGCATCCTTTGTGGCAGTTCTTTGAGAATCGTTGAAGTAGGCAGGCACTGTCACCACAGCTTTGGTTACTTTATCATTCAAAAACTTCGAAGCATCGTCCACTAGCTTCCTTAAGACCTAAGAAAACACCAAATACAACAAAAAGATAGCAATGTCATCCTTCAGCATGCTAGAGTAATAGAGTATCTTTCACATAATCCATCTATGAAGTAAAATTCAATAAGCAAACGTCGTATTCTACAGACATCTTAATATATTTCTAAATGATGAATCTCTTTATTTCACCACTAAAATCAACCACATTATGAGAAACCAAAATGAATGTACGGTGATAAAACAGAGAATTAAGTAATACCTGAGCGGAAATTTCTTCAGCGGCAAATTGTTTTCCAATCGCTGGGCATTCCAACTTCACATTTCCATTCTCGTCGCGCACTACTCTGTAGGAGACCTGCTTGGACTCCTCATCCACCTCCGACATCTTCCTACCAATAAACCTCTTCACCGAAAAGAATGTATTCTCAGGGTTTACAACTGCCTGTCGCTTCGCAATTTGACCAACAAGCCTGTCTCCGTTTTTAGTGTAAGCCACCACCGACGGCGTCGTTCTCTGCCCTTCGGCGTTGGTTACAATAGTCGGCTTCCCACCTTCCATGGCTGCAACTGCGGAGTTAGTGGTTCCAAGGTCAATTCCCACAACTTTCTCACTAACAACCCTCAATGGCCGGACAGTCGAATTCCTACGGCTAATATTGCTCCTCAAGTTCAAGAATGCGGCGGTCGGAAATCCAGATGAATTCCCGAGTTTCTGACCGAAGAACACAGTCCGCGAAGAGACATGGTTATGTTTTCGCATGGAGGCCGCAGCAAAGGACGGAGCACCGAGGCCATGGATCTGGGCGGCGGAAGCAGCCATTTACGAAGAAATTACAGAGAAGGAGAGGAGAAAAGAAGCGGGTAAAATCGGAATCAAAATGGAATGGACTAAGAAATCGGGGAAGGAGTCTGGCGGATGAAGGAGATAAAGGGGAAGAAGGGAAGGGTTTTTGAAGAAAATGTAAGGGTTAGGTTATGACACGTGGGCTAGGGTTCTAGAATATTCTTCAATAATCTAATCTTCTGCCCTCCGTTGCATGAATTCTACGCCCTTGGATTTAATATTTTCCTCAATACAAATTGGGCCTCAAAACTCGTTTTGGGCCCTTCCAATTTCAAATTGGGCCTAAAAACGGCGTCGTTCTCTGCCCTTCGCAATTAGTTTCTTTAACATGTCATTTCGAAGTCTGAATTTCGAGTGCTGTAGAGTTCAAATTTTAATTCTAATTTGACTTTTTTTTTATAACGACAATGATGGAGATATTCATGAGCAACAAAATAACGTTAAAAGATATCAAACAATTGCATGAATTAATAAATTAGAAATGAGTGACAGTTTTAAACTCTTATTTGTCAGTTTTATTTTTCACTCAAACAATATTTATTTAAAAATGAACTAATTCAACCCAACCATTTTTTAGGTTAGGTTGTTTACGTCATTTTTTTTTAATAAAAGTAAAATGTTAATTGGTACAATATTTAATTAAAATTTATGAATCAATCAATATATATAAAAATTAATTAAATATATGTATATATAATCCATCAACAACTAAATTAAATTAATTTAATTTGAATTCACGAGAATTACATAAAGAAACTAAAAGACAAAAAGTTTCTCCCTTTACTCCTTTATTATATAGATTTTTGTATTTCTGATAAAAGATAAATAGATTTTTGTCACAATTTTAAAAGAAGAAATATTAAAAAAAAAAAAAAAGAAAAAAAAACGTCTGCATTTACTAAAGCACCCCTCCAACAAAAAAACAAAAAACATTACGTAAGGAGGCCAAGTAGAAGAAAATGACTATAACACAGCGTAGACATCATCAAATAATAAGAAAATCTTTGTTGTCGTTTAGTGTGAAGCCAAAAGGCTATTTATGGAATTCAAGGGGCAATAAAGAGGGGTGCGTGGGGTGCCCCATTCATCAAAAAATGGTGTTCAAGATTCCATATGAGCCGCCCACATCAATTTCCTTTTTTTTTTTTTTTTTTAATTTATTTAATTACCACATCACTTCCACCACAATTTCTTTCTTCTCTTCCACTTGGACTTGAGTTCATAGTTGGCTACTTTTTCTGTTTTCCCCCATTTCTCTCAATCTCCAGCAAGATTTCAACATGCCTTAGATTGCTCCTTCAGTTTCTACTCTCTCGGATTATCATCTACAAATTTTTGTTCCACGGTACATCATTTGCGTTTGCTTTTCCTTCCTCCGATTTCCTGATTTTGCCTTTTTCTTTCTCTTAGATTTTTGTTTTGTTTTGAGGTATGTTGTTCTGGATTTGGTTTCTATGTTTAGTTTTGTTTTTGTTTTACTTGAATCTATTAGAATTAGCAATAGAACCTTCTAGTGTCACTGATTATCCATGTGTACTGTGCATTTTTTGGCTACAAATCTCAACTGATTGAACGCACATATCTTGATTTTGAATCTCTCTCCCTCTCTGTGTATTATAGCTTTTTTTTCCCTTAGTCATTGAATTGAGATGTTCAGTTGAAGATCTAGAGAATGCTCTCGTTTAATTGATTTTTTATTTGCATGATCGAGGCCTTTTTATTTGATTTGCATGATTTAGCCCTTTTACTACCCAAGAGTTTGTTTTCTTGATTTTCTGTGGGATTGCACCTTGTGATTCGTGTCGTCTATTTTGGTTGAAGCGGGTTGACTTTATTTCTATTATTGGCTTGGTGTACGATTTGAGTGAAGTTCTGTTTTCTTTTTGGTTAAGAAATCCTATTCAAGCCTAATCAGTGATTGCTGTAAATTTAAAGGGAAATTAGTGACCAGAACAGGTTTACCGCAGATGAATCCTTATTGCACTTTAATACTAATTCTAGTTCCTTTTTCTTTTTTATCAGGAAGTTAGGAGCGAATTAGAAAACCAGTTTTTGTTAAGAACATGAAAGAACAAAATCTAAGGAGAGACCCTCAGAAAAGATTAAAAAGGGATCTGCCTGAACCAAGGGGGACAGCCTCACAAAACAATTATAAAATTGGCTCCCAACTTTTGGTAACTAAAAACAAAAGGATAATTACAGAATAAAGAGCCCATAGAGAACTATTGGAAAATACCACACTCCACACATCTTCCCAAGAACTATCTTTTCCGATGAACACTTGTATTTCTTTCCAGCTATATAAACCAAAAAGATAGCCAAGGAACTGGCCTGCCAAAGAATCTGATTCCTTCTCATCTGCTTAGTTATCAGTTTTCTTTTACATTTCTCTTGCATCCACATGACTGAGAGAGATTTTGACCTCATCTACCATGCGTCCAAATGTGTTTACAATGAATATGCATCTAAGTTTGTATATAATTGGTTGTGCCTATATGAGGTTGTAAAGAAGCAACGATAATAAATAAAAAGGTCCAAAGTAATGTTTCTTTAAGTGTTGAAGTTGTGGATTGATATGTTATCCCATGTTCCTCTAGTGCTATTTTTAAACCATGTAACCAACCGAAGAATTAAACTTAAATTTTGGACAATATAGTGATAAATGTTGTCGTGGACATCCTGCCACTGCATTCATTCCAGATTGGTGATTATTATGTCTGTTCATAACTTCATGTATATTTCAATGAGAAAGCCTTTTAATTTCAGAAAGTTGGGATGTATAATCTTGTGACATATTTCTGTAATGCTCTCAGAGTTGTATTCACAGTAGTCATGTGATTGGAGGTTTATTTTAAAAGCATTCTTCCTAACATCTACTTTAAATTCCTCTTTGCTCTGACAGTACCTACTATTCTGCCATTGTTGTGTCCAAGAATGTATGTGAATTGATGGAGAGGCGTCTCTGCATTGAAATTGGTCGTGTGAACTGTTTTATAAGATGTACTACTTTCAGGGTTCATGAAGCTGAATGAGTTCTCTTCAAGGAGTATAAGGAGCTCCGAAGATCTTTGCATATCAACATTACTCGTTGTCATCAAGGGGTTCTATCCAAGAAACGTCATTAGATATACTAGGAATTGATTAAAAAAATTGCTGCATTTCGGGAAGATCTTTGGGTAAGCTTATACGCGAATGGATAGATCAGATACATCGGGCTTTGTAAGCGGTGGAGGCAATAGTAATCTGTTAAAATCTGTTTTGGACGTTGTTACATATATCTGCTTTTAGTATTCCTTAAACCTTTTTGGTTAGATTGTTCTTTTAGTTTAAACTTCAGGGTAGAGAGAATGGATTTGAACAAGACTGTTGCACATTATTCTCAAAATGGTGATCTCACAAAAGATGACAACTTTGGTGATACTACTTTGAGCTTGAATTGTTTTGGATTTGGAGGAAGAAAATCCTCTGGATGTGAGGTTGCTTTAAATGACCTGAATTTTAACTTTAGTTATGCTCCAGATGATGGCTGTAGACTCGTACTTGGACTTGGCCCAACTCCTAGTGCTAACTGTGATGATTATTACAATGTTGGATATAAGAAGGACAAAGCACTAGTTACATCTCTACCTGAGGAAATATCGCCAAGTGACTCCATATTGCAGCTTGGTCTTTCTGGAGGGACTAATGAAGCTGCAAGTGTGGTCGAATGTTCACTTTCAGTGGATACTGATGTCAGTGCAACTTATCTGATAAACCAATGGGCTGCTGAAGCTAATCAACTGTCTATCCCGCTAGTCGATGAGGGTTCTACCTCAGCAAAAAAATCAGGTGGGTATATGCCATCACTTCTTTTTGCTCCAAGAATGGGCACTTCAAATGTTCTGATTCAGCAGCTTGACACTGATACTGAAAATCAGCTGAGCCAAGAACTATCACCTACCATAGAACACTCCTTAGGATCTGTAATCGACCAAACAATCAAAAGCGTGTGTTCAGATCATCAGCTAAGCAATCCTAAAAAGTGCAAATACTTTGGCTGTGCGAAGGGTGCACGAGGGGCATCTGGTCTTTGTATTGGTCATGGAGGCGGACATAGATGTCAGAAACCTGGGTGCAATAAGGGTGCTGAGAGTCGTACTGCTTATTGTAAAGCTCATGGTGGAGGGAGGAGGTGCCAACATTTAGGGTGCACCAAAAGTGCTGAGGGGAAGACAGATTTTTGCATAGCTCATGGTGGTGGTAGACGTTGTGGATATTCAGGTGGATGTGCCAAGGCTGCGCGCGGCAAGTCAGGCCTTTGTATAAGACATGGTGGGGGGAAAAGATGTAAGATGGAAAGCTGCACTCGTAGTGCTGAAGGACAAGCTGGTTTGTGCATTTCTCATGGTGGTGGACGCCGTTGCCAGTATGAAGCGTGCACAAAGGGTGCCCAAGGAAGTACCATGTATTGTAAGGCCCATGGGGGAGGGAAGAGATGTATATTTGCTGGATGCACAAAAGGCGCTGAAGGGAGTACTCCTCTTTGCAAGGGACATGGTGGGGGAAAGCGCTGCCTCTTTGATGGGGGTGGGATTTGCCCAAAAAGTGTACATGGGGGCACAAATTTTTGTGTTGCTCATGGTGGTGGAAAGAGGTGTGCTGTGCCAGGATGCACAAAAAGTGCCCGTGGCCGCACTGATTGCTGTGTAAGACATGGTGGAGGCAAACGGTGCAAATTCGATAACTGTGGAAAGAGTGCCCAGGGGAGCACAGACTTCTGCAAAGCCCATGGCGGTGGAAAACGATGCACATGGGGAGAGGGCAAGTGTGAAAAATTTGCACGGGGTAAGAGTGGCTTATGTGCTGCTCATAGTAGTATGATTCAAGATCGAGAAACGAACAAGGGAAGCCTGATCGGACCAGGACTTTTCCATGGCCTTGTGTCTGCTTCTGCTGCCTCTACAGTTGGAGATAGCTTGGACAACCATAATTCATCTTCTGGAGTGAGTTTCATATGCGATTCGATGGATTCAGCAGAGAAGCCTCGAAAGCGACATCAGCTTATTCCACCACAGGTATTGGTTCCATCTTCAATGAAGTCATCAGCATCATATTCTAGCTTTTTGAGTACAGAGAAGGGAGAGGTAGATGGGAATGGATGCTGTGTTGGCACAAAATCCCTCGACTACTCAATTCCTGAGGGGAGGGTGCATGGAGGTGGGCTCATGTCATTGCTTGGTGGGCATCTTAAGAAGAAGAATATGAATAATAATGACATTTAAGGATATCTATCTGATCCGACAGCATCAGGTAATTTGGGATTTTGATTACGCATTGGAATCATGTACATAGACTTCAGTTGGGTCCGTCTGTGAATCTTGTACTGTATTTATGATTAGGTTTGTAGTTTTATATTATGGTGTTGTCAGGCTATCTGATTAAAAACATGATCAGCACTTTGGTGTCAATAGCTCTTTTATTTTGATATCTTTATAAAGCCAAGCCCCTATGCCTATGCCTAGGTGGTTAATAGTGGTGTTGCTTTCTAAGAACCATGTCCACAGGTGTACTGTTTCAATAATTAGGACCCAAGTTTTGAGTGTTTGTTGGTGCTTTCCATTGATGCAGAGTTTGAAAATGTGTTTATATCCTTCTTTCACTCATAATTTTCTGATCTACAGATTTACATCTTCCAACTACTGTGATTGCTACCTGTTATGCTGATGTACACGAAGTCTAAAATATTTTTTTTATTAATTTTTAAAAGCTCAAGTCTATGTTTACTAACACCATTTTTATATTATCCACTTTTAATTTGTATCACATCAACTCATGTTTTGATAAAGTCATTATATGTACATATGTATTTTTAAAATGCTTGTCCATTGTATTTTGCTAGTGTTTTTTTTTTCATTAAATTGATTACAATAGTTTCAATCTTTTAAAAATATTATTGAACTTTGATTGAAAAAATTAAACTAAAAGTATCTTGACTTTCTTCTCCATAGATGTTATAAGCGACATAACCAGAATTTGGTTCCAAAAACAAATAGAAATATGAAACCATTTTCATCTTTTAAAATCCTCCAATTTGAAATCAATTCTGTCCAAATCCTGTCGGAGCATTAATAATCCACAAGGTAACACTAGTTACATCTTATTCATAATACCTTGAAAGACAAATTCTCCACAAGATCCGGAGAAGAAACACACTTTAAGGGCTTGCCCTTTTGAAGTTTTCATACTTGTTCTTGATGGCTTCCCAGAAAGCAGGTATTGCAATGTCATCAGGAACTTCCTTGAAAGAGGGCAGATAATTTACATCCACAATTACATGATCACCACTCTTGTCTTCAACCTGAAAATGACCACACCCAAATCTTCAATTCAGAAAACAAACCATATCTTCCAACTAAACCCGATGGATCTACTGCCTCAAAGCATACACTGCTGGTATGTAAAGCAAGGGAACAAAAACATCAAAAAATACCATCAGAATTTGACAGATCCAATCGGCAACTTCCTTGATTGGATGAACATGAAACATAAACAAACCCTCTCCCACAAACCAGAAGGAAAAAAGAACAATAAATAAACAAATAGAAACAAAGAAGAAGAAGAGAAGAATTACTTACAACAACATCGAAACCAAAGATTGAAAGATCAAGTACGCTCCTAAGCCAATTTGCAGCATTTTGGACTAGCTCAATATTGATGTTCTTGTTTTTTTTGTCAGAACTTTTGCCTTCTAAATGCTGCTGGCTTTCATTCACAATGGGCAGAGATTTTAAGCTGTTCATAAAGCGATAACTTTATGTGCTATTCACTCAATTATCCTAAGTTCTTGTATTAAAGAGCTACAAACAGAAAGTAACAGAGCAAAAGCGCGACCTGTCAAAGATTAATGGTCCAACACCTTGGTTTAAATTGGTCAGTGTACTTGTGTTTGGTGTAGACTTCTTAACTGCGTGAAAAATCTTTTCACCAAGCACATAAAATTTGTAGAGAGTTGATGAATGATCCACGTATTCCTGCAGTTTCAGCAGCGCCAATTTCCACAAAACTCTTTGATCAATGAACCACAAGAAGAATGTCAAGTTTTCAAAATGCAAGCTAGCAGGCTATTGAAGGTCAAATGGATAACTTTGTCAAAGAACTCATGAAACTTCTCCTCACCTGAATAATAGCTGGAAGAGGAACATCCAAGTTCTTGAGATCTTCAACATCAAAAATGATTGCCTGTTACAGGATGACAGATTGCAATAAATTCTCGTACGTGAATGGTTGATTAGAATGATTTTCATATTGGAGTGGCATACGAAAAANATGGGAATTTTTAGCATCATTTCCATTTCAACAACTATAGAAAGGACCCGAACAAGAATTTGAATTGTAGGCTGATAGAACTCTGAAATGAGAACACTAATAGGCTCATGACTTGAAATTTCCACTTATAACAGGAGACACCATACAATATCTATTACATCCAGGGAGTAAAACAAATGAAGAGCACACTGAACCAAAGACAAAAAAAAAAAAAAAAAAAAAAAAAAGAAAGAAGAAAACAAATGTATGCAGAAAATAATGAAACTGAAGGAAACTGAAGGAAACCATTCATGGTGTGATGCTATACCAGTCCACCAGGCACATATCTTCTGCTTTCACAACACAAGAAATCAATTTTAAAAATAATAATAAAAGAAAACAAATATATCGATACCATTTTGTGAGCATCAGAAACTCCGCAAGCAACTTGGGGCTTCACTATACAAGGAAGAGTGAGTTTAGCTTCAGATAGCTTTTGCACCAAGATGGCCTCGTTAAAATTATCAACCTGCACAGTTAGGTATCACTCATAAGCTTAATAGATGGAAACTCCACATATTTCACACAACATAGGACAGAACCAACAGACAGTTCATTTGGTAATCATTTGGAGATTACAGGTTATACCAAGTCTATTTGGGTAAGAATTTTCAAACCCTCTCAAATTATCTATCATCTGCTGATTCTCAGAACACAAAGTGACCAAAACATGGAACCACAAAATTTAATGCCCGTCTAAATCATTTCTTTTTGTGCTGATATTTCCATGTTTTAATGATAAATGTAAATCATAAAATAAGAGGCCACATGAGGAATGACTTCGACATTTTAATTTATTTTCTGTCAGAAGACGATGAATCGTGGACATTTGATTACCATTCTCAGACCCTTCAAGCATATGAGAAACATGACAAGAATCAGACCTTGAGAAAATAAGGACCCCTGATTATGCAGCCTTCAGATTTGAGAGCCTCCAGCCTGAGAAGAATCTGTTGAGTTTCTAACCGATCCAATACAGGTCTTATATTATTAAGTGGGTCAAGTACGCATAAATCTGGGTGGACTTCAATATGCCTGTGCGAGCACAAAAATTATGTATTACTTTAAAATCCATTTCTGAATAAAGAATTTTTCAGGAATATCACTAAGGTGGGAGGGGATCTTGTTTCAAAGAGAATATTAGTCATTGACTGAAGTGTTTGCTAGCAGGAATTTGTTAGTGCTTGGAAATTGGATTGAAAGTACATATCCCACTGCATTATTGCCAACCTTCATCCTCTCCTCCACTTCCTCTTTCTATAACCCACTCCCTCCGAACAAACCTTCAGTGACATCTCAACTTCATATAAAATAGAAGTACCATAGTTTACGAAAACATGTTTTTTTTCATTGAATAACATGATTCCATGAAATGTTAGTGTTACCTTTGCAATTCTTGCATTCTACTGGAGTAGGTTATTTTGTTAGAGAGATCTGAAGAGTTGCTAAGCTCAACATATAGAATTTCATCTGTTGCTTTATGGAGAATCATATCAACCTCAGGCAATTGAGATGATAAAGGGAGATCAAACGTCAGGGGCAGGAAAATCAACCCATTGTCTGTAGGATACAGAGGAAAGGCACCCCTCTGCAACATTCAGGGTAATGCATAAATTTCAAACTAACTGAATAAAAATAACACATAAACTTGCAGAAACAAAGGAATTACAGTACAGAGCTGTTATGAACAGTACAAGTTAAATTGAAAATCAAACTTCAAAAGTCAAAGGAAGAAATTACTTGATTGCATGGTTGAACTCAGAAGTTTGGAAGAAAAAAAAAAAGAGGTGCACGCGTGTGTGATGAGTAATTGCCGATGGTTTGAGGAGTATTACAAAATTGATTCTAGTGGTACAGAGTATCAGAGAAACTAAATTTCCCATGAAGCACATAGATTCTGATACCTGTACTGAAGTACTTTTCCAAATAACCAATGCATGGAAATAAGCATAAACGATTCCATACAAAGGAATCAATCATATTATTTCTAAGACAATCAATTTAGAAGAACGTCTTGTTTTATAAGAATAATCACCTTAGCAAAATCAAGTTCACGTGAAGGCTTCATTGTATAACCAACTACGATGGGGCTACAGTCATCTGCCTGTTAGAAATGTGAATTGGAGAGCCCGATAAGAGATGTAGGATACAAGATTCCATTAAAAGAAAACAAAACTCTACACAATGGTAGAACAATATGTAGTTATCAAATGCTATCCAAGGCAAACACATTAACTTGATGCCCTTTAACAAAATAACTGAGACCAATACTTCCCAGCAGCCATACGATGGAGTAACATATGGATTGCAAGCTTTGCATATTTTGAAGATGCATCAAACTTAAATGTGAGAAAAAAATAAAATGTATTCCACATTTTTCATTTCTATGTTTTTCCATAACTAATATGTCTTTAGGAAAGAGAGAAAAGTCTAACAGCACTTAAAGTTGGTGGGAAGATGCCTTTCATTGCCAACTTGCAATCAATTTGTAAAATAATACTTTTGGTAGTCCTCAGTCAACGCATAAACAATTTTCTCCATTGGTGGAAGATGGAGAAAACGTATTACACCAATTATCGTAAAAGACGAAATGAAAGAGTACAAAACAGAAAAAGGCAAGTGGTTTCTTCTTTTTTAATTGTTTTGTGTTTTATGGAAATAAAGTCAATTTGAGGACGCTGTTTATCATGGAAATATACAACTTCTAGATGGTCAAAGAATCCAAAGGGTAAGAGTGAGTTAAAATGGCATCTTTTAAGAACTCCGTTGTGTATTATTTTGAAGGATCAAGCCCCTTGGTGTTGACACTCTGAGGCTTGTTGAGGGAGGCACACTTGTTGAGGGTTACATTGGATTTTAATGATAAAGAGGCAAAGTATGAGACACAATATCATTGATAAGAGATAAGGTAGCCAACTTCATTGACCTTTGAATGCAGCTCAATGTTATTGGAATCCATCCCTTTTCTACAACAAAAAATAAACAAATTCGAGATATTGAAGTAACAAATGGTTTGCGATTTGTCACCTCTCACCTCGAGAGACAATCCCCTGAGTGTGTGTACCTTGCACTTTGGAAATACTTCCAATTTACAATTGTTGGTATAACTTTGAGTTTCGATTTTTCCTTTTCTTATCATTGTAGCTTTCTGACTTGATGTCAGAATAGCTTTAACACAATATCACATTGATACAAGTAGGACGTTTGACAATCATCAAGGAACAATAAGTGATGACTGCAGGATCCAACTCCTACAACTAAAAATAAGGAACACCTAACAGTTAACCTACAACTTTCTGATGAACATAATCAACAAGGTTGGCTGTCCCTATGTTCCATGCAGCTGTCTAATACTAGTTTGAGTGAAACCACATACACTGAGTAGAACTGATACTTATCTGCAATACCAGAGGCCAATCAAGAATTTTTCTGTAGGGTGCTAGGGTGCTTCACTTACAATTGGGCAAAAAACATTTACAGGTTAGCCATCCAAAAAATTCATAGATATAACTGAAAATTGAAGTATTAATTTAATAATAAAATTGTCCTCTACAAGTTATCATATTATGAAATTGTCATACAATAACTTTGTTGTCTATCTTATCAAATAATCGTTTTTCTCAATATATCCTATCAGACTAATATTATCTATCTTATCAAATAGATCTTTCTCAACCCAAGCACGAATAAAAATAATCCCCTAAACCCCTAAATACTATTGGTAACTGCAGGGAGTTGGAAGCAAAGTTAAAACCTCAAACCTCTTATCTAACTTTGGCTCCATACTCGATGCTCTAGGTAAATTATTGAACTAATAGTCTCAAACTTCATAGATACAATAATGCTAGCCCCATTTTCCCATTTTCTTCAAGGAGAAGAATATAAAAATTAATATAATATTATCGTAACAAAAGCACAGGAAAGGAATTACCTTCATATTTAAGCGACAGATACTCAAAGGCAACTCTTCTAGCTTGCTAATACAAATCCTTCCCAAATTTTCACATGCACTGTCACCTTGAACATCTGAAAGAAAAGTACCATTATTAACCACATCACACTAAAGTTGTTACTGTACAGTCTTGTTTGAGTTACCTCAAATGGGACAAAAACCAATCATTCTCCCTACTCATTTTCTTCTATAGAATAGACATACAGCAGCAGAGAAAAAAAAAAAAAAAAAAAA